CATTGATCACATTCCTCTGTGGCCCCATAATCTCCTTGATCAGAAAATTTGGGACACAACTGAGTTCATTTGTATCTGTATATACAAAATAGGATAGATATATAGTCACTTTCTCTTAATTCAGTAAGAAGAAAGATTTGTACAAATAGTGTTTGGACAGGATAGCATGTCTGCATCTTGTACTATGAATGACTACTACAAAGACAACAATATTCAATGTATTAATTATTGTAACTCTCCTACCAACCTGTTTTGAAACTGGCTCATTGCAATTTTTTTCACAATAATTTTTTTTTTTTAAATGCCACCATGGAGATCGGGGAGATACTTTGGCGGTCTAAGCACCTGCCTGGCAAGTTCAAGGACTCCAGTTTGATACTCAGTACCTCATGTCATCATGATTTTTAGTGAATATGAGAGAGAATTTCCTTATCACTCCTTCTAATCTGGTTGAAACAGTGTCTCACTAAAGTAGTTCAGGCTGGTCTTGACCTCGAAGAGATACCCCTGCCTCAGCCTCCTGAGTGCTTGGATTATAGGGGTGGACCACCACACTTGTCCCTAAAGAGAGTTAATCTGTTTATTTGTTATTGCTGTACCTTTACTTCCTATTAGCTATACCAAATCTTCCAACTTGTTCCCTAGAAGTTTATCTTGCCTTTTGATAGATTTATTTTCAGAGTAGCAAGGCACCTCTTTTAGACTATTAGAAGGAGGTCTTAAATTTAAAATACTCAAGATCCCCATTGAGTACTTCACATGTACTTAATGTTTTTTAAGGACACTGTGAAGTTCTTACTAGTTTTCCGATTTCACAAGTGATAAAGTTAAACTCAGAGCCTATCTTTTTGAATGTCAGAGCTCAGGCTGCTTAATACAGCTGGAGCTCTTAGAGTAAAAAAGAAAATTAAAACATGGAATACTGGTAGTATAGCTCAGAGGTGGAGCTCTTGCCTGGCATGTTCAAGGCTCTGGGTTCAATTCCCAGCACCCCTGCCCCCCCACCATCACACACACAAGAAAGAAAAGTTTATTGACAAATACAAATAGGAGTCATGACCTTTTTGTAATGGAAAGACAGTTTTTGTTCCTAAAGTCTTGAGTTCATGCAAAAAAACAAAAAACAGGGAAGAGGTGACTGCTCAGAGTAGAGTTGTATAATGTAGAATTGGTGCTTTCCTTAGAATTTCTAGTCAGTGCTTATGTTGGGAGTCCTAACAGTGGGCACAGCTATGGCCAGTTTAGAGATCAGATCTTAAAGCCTACCATGAGATTCTCAAGTATTAGAGGACTCCTGTTATAGAAGTACCTTTCTGTGCCTAGGTATCTTTTATGTTCTTTGTTCTATGCTGCTGTGAAAATGAGGTAGATGGTCTATTGTGGGGTAGTTCATCTGGGGTGAGCCTCCTCTCCAAAGCCATGTGTGTTATAAAAATAAGAGCTTATTTGATGAAGCTGTGTGAAAATTATGGCCCTATATAGGTTTTGGTTTTGGGTTTTTTTTTTTTTTTTTTCAGAACTGGGGATTGAACTCAGGCCCTTGCACTTGCCAGGGAAGCGCTTATTCCACTGAGCTGTCTCCCTGGCCTCTATATAGGTTTAAATCGAATTTTTTCTTTGTCATATCCAGTTGTAAGAGTACCAGTAGTAGCTGGGCATGGTGGCTCTCTCCTGTAATCCTAGCACTCCAGAAGTTGAAGCAGAAAGATTACCAGAAGTTCAAGGCCAATCTGGTCTACATGGTGAGTTCAAGGCCAGCCTGAACTGCATAGTGTGACCCTGTCTCAAAAAGCAAACAAAAATGCTCTGTTTATTTCCCAATTGTTGATATCTGTCACTAGCAGCTTGTAAAGTAGACAGCAAAAGAAGTGACAGTTTTAGGAATATATTGAAATATAGTTAGGAAAAGAAATGGGATGGTTTCACTGTTGAAAAGGAAATACAGTTTGTCTACATGCCCTATGAGTTTGTACTTGAGACAGACCCATTTAACAAAAGATACACTGACACAAGAACACTTAACAAATTTATTATCTCAGGTAGTACTTAACCATGAAGGAGAATGCATAGTGATAAGTAGCATTCTAGTTTGTATGAATCTTCAAGAAGAATAGATTTGTAGAGAAATGACAGGACAAAAGGAATTGATTTTAGTTTTCTAACTTGGAGAAATCAAGGGTAAATTTATGGAATAAAACTAATACAATTTTTTTTTTTCTAATTCTTTGTTGCCATCTCTGGGATGATTAGAATCTAGAGATGTCTCTAGTAAAGGAGAATTCCTGTCCATCCGTCCTCGTTGCCCCCACCCCCCTCAGTTTTTTAGACAAAAACTCTAGTTCTGTTCAGGCTGGCCTTGAACTGACAGCAATCCTCCTACCTCAGCCTCCTGAGTGCTGAGATTACAGGTATGTGCTACCACCTCCGACTAATCTTCTTTTGAAGATTTCTAAGAATATAGAAATATTCTTATCAGACCCAAAAGCTACAACTCTTGTTGCATAGGTCTTGCTTTACCTTGGTCTTAACCATCCAGCAGAAAAGTATAAAAATGAAATATAAGAAGTAAAGCCATGTTGTTATGCTGAGCTGTAGGGGACTCAGGTCAACAATTTCTGACATTGCCAGTGAAGCGGAAGACCCAATATTGTTACGTTCTACTGGACTCTTTTAGAATATTTTACTGAGTTAACATACCTATAATATTCAAATAATGGAACTAAACCAAAAAAAAAAGGAGATATAGATGGATGTCCATTTTGTATCTGTGTATTCAAAATGGTTAGAATAGATATATAGTTACATTCTCTTAATGAGTAGAGGGATTTGTTCTAATAGTGTTTGTAAATA